TCTGTAATTTACCTATGCTACGCGACATGCAAATACAAAATGATTACAGTGTTCTCTGTCCAGTCCAATTTAATAATAAAAAAGAATGCCTCTAAACTTCAATGACTAAAATAGTATATAAACAGCCTAAATGCAACATCGTCATGATCAAGTAATGTAGGTTTGAGTGGCTCGCTCAAAACGTGTACGGACGAGATAGTCTGGCAAAAGTAATCATCATTCTTAAATGCAATAAGCTAAATGCGAACAAATACTTTTATTTTCATCACCCGTCGTTCACTTTCCACGTCTTAATTTAGCGAACACCCTTAAAATTAAATAAGGGCATCTGTTTATTATAAAAGACTGTATGTTGACCCTAGAAGTCTTCAGTGTTATGTATCGTTGGTATATTGCCTCATCAAAGTATACCTCACATCACCTTTTTTCAAACTCCAAGAGTTGACTTCTCCCGAACAATCGTAAACCCTTGCTAAAGTGGGGCATTCGTTTGGATGTGCGGGATGTATAAGTACGCAGCCACGTTCGATCGAAATTGGAACGTTCAAACCGATGCCTCGTGTAGTCTTTTAGAAGTTATCGTTATTTAGTATATCTGAATATACAATATATAAACTGTCAAAGGTAAAGAGAAAAGTTAAATATAAAATTTTTTTCTCTACGTAAGTCACATGACTGATATTGTCAGTCGCCTTCATTGAATTTGTTTCCCTATTGTTTTGTATTTTCGACTAGTAAGACAATTAAAGACGAATAAACAACATGAAACAGCAAAAGCAGTCAGCAAGACAAGATCTACAAATATGTATAAAATGGCCGAGATCGTCAGTTGATTCCCTATAGAAATTATTGCCCTTAAAGGAACATTTTTTCCGTGTTTGCCTTCATGAAAACTATAATAGATAAAGACAATATTGAAACAGCAAATACCGGTATAATAACCTAGACAAGATCTGTAAATGAGTCAACATGACTGCGATCGTTATTCGTTTCAATGAAGTCATTGCCCTCATTGATAATTTTTCCCCAGTTGTTCTACTTCCCCTTCTCCCCTAGTCTGGATACAAATGTATTCTCACATTACTTTTTTATTGGAGGTTAAGGTAAACGGCGTAGGTAGTACTGCAATAATCCAACAACACTATTGATCATTTGATGATTATTTTAAAAGAGGTATCGATGTCAATAAACAGGTTTCGGTGAAAGTTAAGTGTCAACATGTATATTTCAAATGAATACGTTAATTTGTAAATGAATTTAATAAGGACTACTGTACAGAACACTTTCACACGGCATCTTTCAAGCGTATTGAGTCATATCTAATTTTGTAGACTATGTCATCAAAAAAATTACAAATTGAAAAGACAAATGAGTAAGGAAAAGCTGAACCCCCTTTTTCTGAATCTTTTTTTTTTGTTTTAATTTTTTTCAAAGTAAATATTCTTTGATATTTTAACCTATGTTTATTTATTTAATGTGATATATTTATATGTGATGCCCCTCTATTCTTATTTTCTACGTAGAAAGTATAAATTGAGAGACATTAAACATGTTATACTGGTATACATGTATGTATATACTATACTGTTTTGTCATATTTGGATAAGAGCAAGAACACATTAGATCAGAGAAAAAGGTTAAAATATTAAAAAAATATTTACTTAGTAAAAATTGAAATACACAAAAAAATATTTAGAAAAAGGGGATCCATTTCCTAAGCGCCCGTATTACGGACATGATAACTATACTTGCGTATAATATCAATGTCACCCAAATAGTTCAGTGGATTATTATAGTTCCTAAGGGGTCTATTGCTATAGAAAGTATCAATACTGCTCCCTATAGATAAACATATGTTTTGGTGACGGTCGTATTTATTTACAAAGTGACCATCATAATATATATATCCTAAAGTAAGGACCTTAAGAAACCTAAAAACGATTCCCTGACAAGGACGCGTCATAAGATGATCTTATGACATGTCCTAGTCCTAAGAGCGCTTAGATAAACAGGCTCCGGGTTAATGAGTTCGGGGTACAAGATTCTTTATGAAATGAGATCGTCCAAGGTATTTTGGATAATTATTTTTCGTCGTTTAACAACGGAAAGGTTTGTAATATATTCTTGTATCTCTGCGTGTGTTTGTGTCAGTGAATTTGGTCTGGTAGTAAAATTTGTCCGCCGGAAATAAGTCCATAGCTAGTTAAATATGTCTGGCACTTATTTTCCTAGGAAAAAATGTCCTAAGACTTGTATTTTCTAGTAAAATTATGATCATGGACTTGATTACCTAGGACAAAAATTCTGGGACCTGTTTACATTCAGGAAGCAAAAGACAAGGAACACTTTTTATCGAATAAATACAATTGACTATGATAAAAACAACTTTTGACAAAATGTAATTTAATTTTCAGCTGCATATTTATATACATGTATGTTTATTTGAAGTCACCAAATAGATTTTTCATAGGTATTCATAAATGCTAGAATCACGTCTTTTTCTTTCCGTGTTTTCCTTTCCACTTGTTGAACTTCAACATCTGAATTCATACTCGATTGTGAAAGATTAAAATTAATTGCCAAGGTATTAACTATTTCATCGAATTTTGGATGCAAGTGTTTGCAAAGTTTTTGTTTATAATGAGTATACGACTATAACTTTCGTTGACTGATATCTAGACGTTTGATATATATACATATACATATATACATTCATAGTCGAAATCCGGATATGGTGTACAAAATTTTGCACCTCATGTTTGCGGTATACCATCTTTTCCGCAAGTTTATTGTTTTCTGTTTGGTAATAAATTAATTATAAGATCCATTTTGTTACATCTTGTGATCCGTAAATTTGTCAATCGCCAATGGCAGTCATCAGGTTTTAAGAACATCAGTTGTTCGACCTGCTAGTCAAATGCGTTTTGTTGAAATATACTTTTTCACTTTTTTTGTCTTTTGGAAAATGTTGTTTGTGCTGTATTTAGACCCCTCTACTAAGAAATTTGTTTTGCATGCACACGTATAAAAATTGTGGTTTTTATCCAACGCAATCATAGGTTTGGACGTTGTTTTCAATTTAGACTTGTTTTTATTTTTTCGTTTGGGCTTGTATTATATTTGCCTTCGAGTTTATATGATCTGTTCATCCTATTTTGACTCTTTCAAAATTCAAGAGTCTATCCTAAATTGAGCTGAATTATATGGCCTTCCAAATACCGTTTCGATTCCTAACATCACTGAAGAGAAATTAATTGTCGAAATCCGGATATGGTGTACAAAATTGTGCACCTCATGTTTGCGGTATACTATCTTTTCCGCAAGTTTATTGTTTTCTGTTTGGTAATAAATTAATTATAAGATCCATTTTGTTACATCTTGTGATCCGTTTTTTTGTCAATCGCCAATGGCAGTCAGCAGGGTTTAAGAACATCAGTTGTTCGACCTGCTAGTCAAATGCATTTTGTTAAAATATACTTTTTCACTTTTTTGGTCTTTTGGAACATGTTGTTTGTGCTGTATTTAGACCCCTCTAGTAAGAAATTTGTTTTGCATGCACAAAAAATTGCGGTTTTTATCCAACGCAATCATAGGTTTGAACGTTGTTTTCAATTTAGACTTGCATATACATATATAGATATAGCCTTGAATTTTATACCGCCACACATTATTTGGAATTTCAAAAAGTCTTTTAATCTGCAAGCCATATGCATTGTATACGATATTAGCTGATAATTCAATCGCTAAGGAATGCAATCAACATATGTTTGTATTGTGTATGGGGTTGCTTGACATTGCATATTTCATCGGCTTCTTTTTTAAGATATGTATACCACAATCTTGATCGATGTAGTAGTGATGGGAAAATTTACAAAATCTATAGATCTATAAAATGATAAGGATTAACAACTGTAAAAACAAAAACCAATAGACAAATCAAATATTACACGACGTCAGTGTCCGAAATTAATATGCTCTCTGGATTTGACATATAATGAAACGCAATGCGTTTGTATCTTTATTTTAAGCAAAACTGTCAGATTTAGACGATAACCAGAAGAGATGGTTGGTTGTTGGAATATGTCTGCACAGGATAATATTACCAGCACTGATGCGATATGTTGTTCCAATTTTAACAGAACTGTATAATGAATTAATTCTCAAAGAGAAGATTGATATGCAAACATATCCAACACATTTAAAACGATACCCACCAACAACAAACGCCTACCTGAATTATGATGCTGTCAACAACAACAAAACAACGCATGGTTATCAAAAGGCAAAGTACGACTACACAATCAAGAGTGTTGTTGATTTATCCAAACTGTTTTTACAGACACACATGGCACAATATACAAGCTTTGATGACACATGCGACTCCTCTGCGTTGCTGGGATTGATCATCGATATTGACAAGTTCCCAACAGTTGTAAAGTCAGATGCTGAATATGTACGTCTAGTTTCTGTTTGAATTAATATCTTACCGTTTGTGCACAAACATTCAATATTGCAATCGCCTGTTATTTTGTCATACCAAAAAGAACCTAAATTTACTAAGTTATGAATAATATTTGTTGAGATATTAAAATGACTACAGAACAATGCAATTTACACAACAGATTCAATGCTTAAGGTTAACTAGGCACTTCATTAGATACTCGAGACAATCAAGTGTCTGAAATGCTAAAATATCGATAACAGAACATAAGAAATTCAAAAAAATGTGTGTACATTAAAATAAAGATTTAATAATATTACATTGGTATATGTAACTGGCAAACCGTAAAACCTCTAATATTTCACAAAACAGTTAATTGAACGTTTAACACTTGCATAAAACAGTCATTGTTACATGAAAGCAAAATTATCATTTGTTTAAGAATCACATTAAGACAATGAAGTAACAGGTCACTGTGACACGATTTAACACATACTTTCAAAAATAATTTGATGCCTTGCTATTCAATTTGCTTCATATTTTAGTCAAAATTTACAAAAGTTATAAATGTAGGTGTGCATTCTGTTTCATGCCAGGTACGAAGAGTTATAAGAAATCCATGGGCTCATTGCATATTCACTGACTGGACTGCTGTAAAGTATTCCGATTCATTCTAACGGATGGAGCAGCTAGTCAAGAATCTGAGTCTGAGTTTCAACGAAGAAAATCAAATCATCGAGACATTGAAAGAATGGAAAATAAATGGTAAGGTATAATTATGAATTCTTGAATGATAAAGGATTTTTCTATCCTGAATGTCGAGTGGCAAACATTATTACCTTGTAGAAAGGTATACCACTCAAGTTTGGTCATAATACATTTAATATTTGTATATAATCTAAACGTAGAGAGCTGAAGTCTATTTATAGAAACAGACTTATGATTAGGACATGCTTTGAGAGATAGTTGTGGGTTTGTCAAACATGTCGCTACTCATGTCATTGAATTTCCTAAGTTTTGGACACCAAATTATGTGTCTTATGATGGTCTTCCGATGGTCCTAACATTGTGATATATTTTATGGTGTTCAAGTTGTATCCCAAGCTTTTTTAACACGTTTGGTTGCAATAATATTGAAAAGTTTATTTAAAGGGGAGATAGATGCTTTTCCAATTCGGCCAGGAAAATATGAAGTTCGGTATCAGTAAAGTAAGGATTCCTACTTTTGTTCATATTCACTCGTAAAAATATTGTATCGTCTCCGTATATATATGACTTAATGCATGATGCACCATAATTGCTTTTTAACTCTGTAATGAATGAAATTGTGGCACTTCAAATTCTCTTCGTTCAAACATATTTCACCAATACAATTGATACTCTCTGCATTTGACAATGTTTGACGGATGATAAACAAAACAATTCTTTTTCAATCATAATTTACAGCTAAACCATCAGATTTAGACGACAATGAGAAAAGATGGTTGTTTGCTGGCATATGTCTGAACACTGTATTAGTACCATCCTTGAGGAAATATATTGTTCCAATTTTAACTGAACTTTATAATGAATTAACTTTGAACCATAAGATTGATACGCAAACATATCCAACACATTTAAAACAATATCAGCCAACAAAGACCTACCTGAATTATGAAGCTGTCAACAACAGCAAAGCAACGCATGGTTATCAAAAGGCAAAGTACGACTATGCAATCAAGAGTGTTGTTGATATATCCAAGCTTTTTGTACAAACACACATGGCTCATTATACAGGCTTTGATGAGACCTGTAACTCCTCCTCTGTATTGGGATTAATCATCAACATTGACAAGTTTCCTCCAGTTGTAAGGTCAGATGCTGAGTATGTAAGTATGATTTGTGTAAACTGCGAACATAAGACTAATACGCAAACATGTAAAACTCATTTAAACCAATAACAACCAACAAAAACCTCCCTGAAATACGATTAAGTCAACAACAGCAATGAAATTTATGCTAATCAAAAAGAAAAGTACGGCTAAACAATCAAGAATGTTGTTAATTTCTCCTAACTATTTTACAGACACACATAGTACATTATTAGGCTTTGATGAAACATGAAGCTCTTTTGCTTTGCTGGGATGATCAACAACGTTGAATAATTGTTAAGATAGAAGCCGAAGATGTAGGTTCTGTATTGGTTTAAACATATATTTTACCATTTCTCCACGAAAGTTCAAAATGCTAATCATATATTCTTTTCATGTTTTTCATAGTAAGGATATTCACTTTTAAAATCAACGTCCTTAGTTGCTAAATCACTTTTTGTTATATCGAGAGGTATTTAGATATATAAAGTTATGTAAACCATTAGTTGTGATGTTCAAGTGACTACCTAACAATGCAAAAGTAGATTCAACACTTTATTAAAATGCAGTGTTATCGTTAACTGAACATTAAAATAAAACAAAAAATGTACATTGCGATTAAGATGGAATTCTCTTAATTTGTTCCCATAGTAAACTGACAGATCTTTCAAATCCCAAATATTAGTCTATATTTCTAAGAACGAGCCGTTTCCACAAAACTAATGTATTTATGTGTAGAATCGGTGGTCCAAATTATAAATCTCAGATAATAGGAAAAGAAGTATTTGTGTAAGGAGCACTGTGACACGAATTAACGCCTACTTTAAAATCACAATGCCTTGTTATTTAATTTGCCTTTAGCTTTTATAAAGGTTATATATGTATTATGTACTTTGTTATGAATCAGGTACGACGAAATATAAAGAACCCATGGGCACGAGGCATTTGCAGTCAATGGGATGCTGTAAAATACTTCAATTCATTCAAACTGATGGAAAAATTAGTCAAGGACCTCAGTCTGAGTTTGAGCGAGGAAGATCAAACCATTGGGAAAATGAAAGAATGGGAAATAAACGGTATTGTGCAAATATTCATTTTTGAATAATGAATAATTTTAGTTCTCAATTAGCAAATATCTAAAACTTGAAGAAAAGGTTTCAATTAATCACAATTTTGATTATCATTAATCTTTGATTCGTATTAAATGTAAACATAGTGAGTTGTATTATATTATTTATATTAAATAGATACAAAATTTCCAGAAACCGACAGGGTTTTTACTAATGCTGTTATCTGACGCATCCAGCGGTGACAACCAGATTTGGCAGACGAAAAGGGTATCTTTCGACAAGACTAGAATATACAACGAACGCAATTATTTCAACTTCCCAATTATCAGCCAAACATTCTTTCTGCTCATTGTATGACGTTTCACATATCTGAATTAATACGTGACGATCGTGCATATCATAAAACGGGTGATGTTTGTTTCACAGAGTGAAACTAACTTCATATAAATGGTGTGCGTCCGAACTGCATTTCATGATTTGCCTTCAACAGGTCACTCAAGCCCACACATTTAAAACCCCAAACTGTATAAACATGTACATGTAAACACGATAGAAAACGTTTACTAGTATTCAATTATATCCATATATGAACAAATGCTGGAATAATTAAAGAATATATGCAGTCGTCTATTTTTATGTAAATGAGTTGATATATAATATATCACACTATTTTACTATATAAAAAGAAATGTAATTAGTTTAAATACATTTATTTATAGTGCAATGGGAAACAAGTTATTGCAACTTATATTAATCCCTTTTCACTTTGCGGATGCGACTGCTGCACTTTTTCGAAGTCTACAAGGGTGTCTTTTATGTGCAAGAGATATGGCTCTCTCTTAACACGGGTCAGCCATTTATCGTCCCATTCCGACGTACTATCATCGTTTCCTCAAGACCATACTCGCAAATGGTGTCAAGGGAGAACCGAAAATTCAGTCCCTGAAAGCCGAAATTGAAGTTACACCGTATTTTTCGAGCAGTAATTGATTAAATTACGATAACATATATTCTGAATTTTCTACGATTACATTGTTAAGTCGATGTCCTGGGAATGTGTGAATGATTACAATCAATTACGAATTATGATTATCCTATCCCCACAAGAGGATTATGCGAGAGAAAACATTTACGACTTGAAAGATGATTTCAATTTATGTGTAGTAATGAAAACTGCACCAGCATAAGGAGGTCATTTGGACAACGGATATGTTCTACTTGTTCACACTCCTGTCCATTTTTATATTGCAGGTTACATCAACAAAAACGATTCGTTACAGTTTTTTTTCTTCCTTTAGCTACAATATAGCTATAGGGATATGCGGTATGATTGAGAACGGGACAATTATCCACAAGAGACCGCATGACGAAATGACAACAGCTATAGATTGCAAGCAACTGCATGTTGTACTATATCTAAGGGTACTAAAAACAAATTGAAATTGTCAAGCAATTCTTTAAACGAAAATGAAAATGTATAAAACGAAAACGGAAAAGCCGTCTTCAAAGATTTGATGATGAAAGCAAGTTTTACGAAACAAACGAAAGAGCAAAAAATCCAGATCGTTTTTTCATACAGCATTTGTTAGTGTTCTATCAAATAGCTCTATCTACTGATGGCTAACTGCTTTCAACGTAGGTTTATACTGAACCCTTAGATAGCCACGTTAATTTTTGGGGTAGAAAGAATTCAAAGAAATATGTCCTAGCTTGAATTATGAACAAAAACGTCATAAAAGAAGCGTATTTTGTAAACTGTAATTATGCAATCCCATTTAACACCGAACATATTCCTTTCTAGGTCTATTTCTCATAAAAAAAAATGAGTCAGGGCTAACGATTTCAGTTCCCTTGTTTAACGTATCCAATATTCCTGAGACGATCATTTGATAAACATGTTATATTTCCGGTTGTCATTTACGGGATAACCAACAATTAAACGTACGAGAATTTATTTTTACATGTTTTACTTTTGTACAATTCAATTTCTTGCATATGTGGGGCAGCATTTTTCTTTCCAGTTCATACCTGAAAAGGACATTCCAAAATCACAAACCCCTTTTAAATTATTTATAGTCATCTCATTAATTGATTTAAGCATAATCATTTGCAGTTGTTACAACAAGTAAATCTTCCTGTTCCGTTTTTTTCTCCTTCTTTTTCGGTTAATTTACTTTAAAAAAAAAACAACAGCATAAGGGATTTTGGTTTGATGCTGAATATATCTTACAGATATTGTTGTTATAACCAAATTAAGGATTTGAAACAGTATTTGTTATAACGAACGGATCATATATTGTGAAACTTTATAAAACAAATGTGGAACTCAACGGTAGAAATTTCAAATATGCCGGATTGGCCTTATCGCAGATAAAAGGTTAAATGCTGTTGTTAGAACAAACATCTATCACTTGGAATCAATCACACAGTAAGTTCCATGAATTGTGCTATGTTGCATTTCTTAAATTTTGCCATCTTTATAAAGGGTCCTGAAAATATTTTCTGCCTTTATATTAGAAATGAATAGTATTTTCTTATTTTCAATAGAACTTTTACCAGCAGACAATGTTAAAGTGACGACCTCCAAAGATGAATCAGCAACTATAAGAGACGATATTGAAATACAGGGACATACAGGAGGCAAGCATGAAGGTACCTGCAGTTACTTTTAACGGGCAATTTAAAGAATGTATGTGAAATATTTGAGAAAATAATAGATAAAGGGACAATAGTTGCTAAATATTAGCACTGAATCTATTCTTGCATGTGACGTGGCCCTGTACTTATACATCCCGTCATTGTGATATTGTGTCATGGTAAATGTTTGTTTATACATCTGTTTTATAGTGATTAAGATTATAATACACCATTGACTGCTGTACCCCTATTTTTGACATTTTCCCTATTATTTCTGTTTGTTTTGTTCACAAATCGTTGCAATACAATGGAATTTAATACGACTATCATACAAGTGAGAGGTTTAGCTAACTGTAAAACCAGGTTATATCCACCATTTTCTACATATGAAAATTCATGTACCAAGTCAGGCATATGACAGTTGTTGTCTATTCGATTCATTTGATGTGTCTGAGCTTTTGATTTTGCCATTTGATTAGGGACTTTCCGTTATGAATTTTCCTCGGATTTCTGTTTTTTTTTTTGTGATTTTACTTTTTTCAAACTCTCAAATCTGTTGTAAGTTTGTTAATTATCTATAGCTACAAAAGATCCATAGAAAACAATACACAATGTCTGAAATCATAATAAAATTTCAACATTTCGTGTTTAGTCCTAAATGTTCGCCAAACAACTAATGACTGACCTGACCAACTAAAAATTATCGATGGGGACATAACCCGTTACATCTATAGATATAGAAAAGCTTGTAAACATAAATATAAATAGGTATACATTTAATACAAATAAACAGGCAAGCATGCCCACTGTGTAAGGTCTATTTTTTTTTAGATCTGTTTGATCATTTCATAGACAAAAACATATCAATTGAATGTGAATCCTTTACGAATAATTTTTAAAAGCCCAATTTGTATAGGTCAAATCAATTAACGATTAGAACAATAGATTAGTAGCCATGGTATTACTGGGGATCTAAACATTTTTTAATATGAACATCTCAGAAAGGTGATATATCATGGTCATAAGTTCATGGAATCCAACACATCAATGGGAACCATAGTTCCAAAAATAATTATTGATTCCATTGAGTACTTCGCTAGAGTTAAATTTAATGAAATTGTCAGAATGGGTCAAAACAATCATGTCTCTGATAAAACGTCGAATTTATAAGTTGAAACACTGTGTGAATAATCGATTAAAGTCCGTTTTCAGAGACAAACTGTGAAACTGTGAAATGTCTATCAGCTCTTCGTGATAAACATGATAAATACATTGTTGTTTCTGCGAACAAAGCTTCAAATAATATCCTCTTGGTATATAAATCCTACTACTACGAGTGTCTTGTAAAATAATTAGGAATAAATCAGGTAGTCCCACATACAAATAATTATCAAAGGTACCCGGCTTATAATTTGATACGCCAGACGCGCGTTTTGTCTACAAAAGACTCATCAGTGACGGTGAGACCAAAATAGTTTGAAAGCCAAAACAAGTACAAAGTTGAAGAGCATTGAGGACCCCAAATTCCAAAATGTTGTTCCAAATACGGCTAAGGTAATCTATGCCTGAGATAAGAAAATCCTTAGTATTTCGAATAATTCAAATTTTGCAAAAACATACCATTTGACACGGATGAGATTTTGACTACTCATAAGTCCTTCATGGCTTCAATGAACATTACATTGAACAGCAAATATGAGAACTTACCTAGTTTGTATTAGATACCTTCACAAAATTCATAAAATTCCGTACAAACATAGACGGCTTATATGCATTAAATTCTACAAAGGAATTGTCCATTATATTGACAAAACAATCTGTTCGCATTGAAAGAGAGCCCTCAGAAATACTATAAAACTGTTTACTCGCGTAGTGGTATTTACCATATATGGATACTAAAAATCTCTAAAGAACTTCTGGATAGTTTAAAATCTCGATCTTTCTCTAAAATTAATTGTATCAAAATGTTTGATTTTTTAACCCTGTATATAACCATTCTCCATGTGAAATTAAAAATTCGTGTACAAAAATATTCAACAATGCTTTTAAATATAAAAATTAATTTTGTTAGTTTGGGATACCTCAAGCATATTTTGTTAATATTGAACAAAAGGTAAAACATGCTACACATTGGAACAAGGGATCAGTATGCTGGAGTTTCTTATTGACAACATATTGTTGAATTAGGAGATAGACTTTCAACAAATTGCTCTCCTTTCTATAGGAACGAACTGTGCGCATCTCCTTTCAGACGATCTTTTATTTTCATATGAGTCGAGTTCCTTTAGTGACTTGTAAAAAACCAGAAGATCAAATAAGCCAATTCATTTAATTTCACATTCATATATTTTAATGATGCTCTATTTATAAACAATCCAAACTTTTCTGATTGGGTTCCATTAATATAACCTAGAAACTCAATATACAACAGATACAGCTTCTTTTGACTGTTTTTCAGACTTATACCTCCAATGTTACATTAGCGGTCTTCTCAGTACCAGAATCAATGATAAACGAGACGATTTTAATTTTAAAGATATCATTTTCCCCCACTTCAGTAGCAAAATCTCAACTCCACCTGCATATGGAATTTACATTTCCCAAAATACCAAGATCTTGTTGATAAATATTCTGTATCAACTTCACAAATAATACATGATGTTCTTGATGTATAGATTCTAGGGATTGATGTTGTTTATCATCTTAATTACGTGTTATAGTGTTATTTTATTTGTCTTTGTAAATTATTAACTTTTACTGTTTGGTTCATTTTTTGGAATATTCTTTAGACGAAGCTCGATACCTGTAGATCCCGCCATTGTGTTGTTGTGCTGTGGTCATTTTTTGTATTCTTGTGTTTCATTTTGTGTTTGTGCGTTGTCTTTATTCCATTTTGTTTTCTTTATTGGCATACTTGTTTGTTTTTATGGTGATCGAGATTATAACACAATGTTGACTGTTGTACCCGTTACTTTTGACATTTTTACATATTATGTATGTTTGTTTTGTTAAAACATTGTGGTCAATATAATGGAACTTCATGCGATTGTAATTCAAGTTAGAGGGTTATCTAATTTTAAAACCAGGTGTAATCCACCATTTTCCATTCAAAAAAGAAATCCCTGTACCAAGTCAGGAATATGACAGTTGTTTTCCGTTTGGTTGATGTGTTTGAGCTTTTGATATTGCCAATTGTCTAGGAACTTTCCATTTTAAATTCTAATTGGAGCCCGGTGATTTTATAACTTTTTGTTTTCAGGGGGAGGGTCGTTGTCTGAACCCAGAGCCTCCCACGGATGTGAGCATTCTGGAGCATAGACCACTCTTTTCATTCAAGCTTATACGATATTTTTTTTTAATTTTCATTAGGAGACGTAATTCCAAGGGAAAAGGGAGCAAGAGGATTTTTTTTCAGGATTGATAATTTATTTTCATTTTTTGCTACACATGCTTATTCCAACACCCCAGAAATATCCAATGGTAGTCCCCTTATTTTCAACTGTTTTCCCTTATTCGGCTATATATATGCTTCTTGCTTTTATAATTTGCCAATATACACGTTTTTCAACATAAGTAAACAATACTTAAATATACACAAAACAGTCACATTAATCATCAAATAAAGTCCCGCTACATGCGACGTCTACAAATAGTCTACTTTTAAAAATCGTGGATAACATTAACATATATGTCATACACATTTTGATGCGAAATATATAACAAGCAGGGACTATTGTCCACCTGTTGAATTGAAAAAAATCAGTGATTCGATTTTACGGATGTTTTGTTAAGCATGGGTCCTCATTTCGGAATCTGGGATCGTTAGAGGGTCGACCGGTTTATTTTCTGTGTCTCGTTATGGAGTCAAAATTATATATGTTGAACTATAAAGTCTACAAAAAAAAACACAAAATGGACTGTTTCTTAGAAAAACGACGGTGAAAAAATTGTCAAGATAGGTGCAATTTGGGTACCTATAGTTTAATCTTATAATAGTTTATTTGTGTTCAAGTTTGCCAATTTCCGAGTCCGGACTTTATTGTCTTTAAAAAAACAGTATTTAGCCTACAATACTGAAAAAAATGAGACTTGAATAATAACGGAAGATGCATCGTCAAGTATGCTATGACACAGTAAGCTGAACTAGTTAATGCAGAAATAATGAAAATTATTCAGCGTAACGCATTCGGGTATCTCAGTTAATCGGGAAATTTAGTCCGGATTCGGTTTTCATTTTAAAACGCCCGAAAGATCTAGATGTGATGACGCAGACGACACCAAGGACGCTGTGCCTGATTGTTCATCAGAAATGTTGATTGACCAGAACAAACATACACGGAACATTTGAATCAAACACTGACAATGGAATAAGATAGGCAGTTCAAGCGGATTATTTTCTGCGGAGAAGGTGGCTTTTCAACTTTAAAAATGGGTGACGACTTGTCTTGTGTCGTGAACAGAACAGTCAACGCAACAAGAGACAGATAATTTATTTTGGTAAAAAAAAAATGAGTAGGTCACTCAAACCACTTATACATACACACCACCGTTATTAAGTATGTTGATTGTGAAGTTGAATGCAATGTTGAAACGTTGGAAGTCAGCGTTGGCATATTTATAAACTTGTTTATAACCACAAGACTGTCCTTTGGGCTATAATGGCTCAAAATTTACCCTGAGCACAGACAAACCTGTGAATCGGGAAAAGTTTTAAGGCATAGCATGCTCTAGATAGATAAAATCCAAATCCATTGTATGTTTAAGAAAATTTAAAACTTAACTGGATTTTGCAGTGCACTTTTTTTTTTCGTTCCTGCAGAAGATGATAAAATTAACAAACAGTGTCCCCCTGGTATCAGGTCCATGAAATTTTCGCCCTGAATTCGTTCTTCCTACTTTTATATGAAAAAAAGCTTTTAATGGTATTAATGTTTTATAAACTAAGTCAAATATTTATAAGGTAAATATTATAAAAGAAAATATATATTTCGCAAAAATTCTGGAATAAATGGAAATATTTAATGGCTTGTTTTGG